ACATCTATCTTTATATATATGTGATCGACGATCATATCATCCTTCATCATCAACAGAAGAGATATGGACGAAATAACATACTCAATAATGATACGTCATTATTATGATGATTTGTAAAAAAAAAAAAGAGGAAAAAAAGAAAAGGCATAAACTTGATGATCTTGAAAATACGAATCTACTCAGTGTTTTTTTTTGGTTTTATGAAGAATTAACAAGACATATTATGAAAAAAACATATACTCGCAATTAGATTCATTATCGCTTGACAACTACACCTTTTATAATTGATGAAGGAGAAAAATGTCATCTTCAATTGATGACAAATAGTTAAAGATATTTTTTTTTCCTTGTTATTTGTATTATTTTCTATAATTACTGGTCTTTTTTAATATCTAACAAAAGATTAAGATGATTAGATCTGACTTTTAAACAAAATACATTTGAATAAAAGATAATGAATAATAATTTTTTTTTTTTTGTATGAAATAATTCAATCGAAATATAAAGAATATTTAATAACTTACGTTTTTCTTAATCGGGTGAGTAATGTCCGCTTTTTTCTTTTCTTTATCTTTAGTTTCACTTCTCTTCGTACACTTATTTTTCTCTTCTACTTACCTCCAAAAAAAAAAAGAAAAAGCTAAATATCCTTTCTCTCGTCCTCTTCTGCTGCTGCTGTTGCTTCCTTTTTGTCATCAAACCCGATGGTAGTTGATGTTGATAATATATGTATACGTATGGCAACTAGGAATGCAAATTTTTAGGATTGTGAAGTGTCCATTCTTGTCTAACAGTTTAATCATTCAAAAAACACCCTCTATACTTGTGGATAAATGTCACAGAAAAAAAAAACAAAAAAAGCCACTTCAGAATATACCTACGTATTGTATAAATTGGAATGGTATTGATTCATCTGTGTGGTTGCACGGTATCGATTGTTCTTTATTTTGAGGCATATTTTTTTTTTGCTCTTCCACATTTAATGAAGAAGAGAAGAAAAAAAAGAAGAAAAGTCACAGAAATAATCGCTTTTAATCAACACAAAGCATATTTATGAATATTTATTCGATAATCGATAGTTCAAGGTCGTTAAAAAACAAAGTTTTTATCTGTTTCTTTTCTTTTTTTTTTTGTATATATATATATCTTATATATGATAAAAAAATTTAAATACTGTTTCATTCATTAATATAATATACAACATAAAAAGAATATATATATATATATAATTTTTATTGTTCAATATACTCTATATATTTTATCATGGTTGAACAATTTTGATTAATACTAATTTAAAATAAAAAGAGAAAAAAGACTATCAAATCTTTATATTAATATGAACAATCAAAATGGAATCATGTTTCTTTTTATACATTGTATATATGCTGATTATTCAAGATAAGTAAAGTTATAATCGCGTTATATCAGTGATAATATGAAGTATATTAATATATAATGATTTCATACTGAATAAATGACTGAGAGAAAAAGGAAAAAAAAAGTAAAAAGAAAAATATTATATTAAGAATTTTATGTATAGATTGACATTCATTGTTGATAAATGATCTACGTATGATCAATATTTGATCTAAAGATTCGCATTCTAATGAAAACAAAAATTCGATAGTTACATATATATATATCATCACGTATAATGACAAAAGTCACTGCTACATGTTATGTCTGTCCAACAAGTTGTTAATATAATACTATATTCATAAGGTGAGAAATTTTCTCGTTTTCTCTTTTTTTTTGTATATATCTATATAAAATAGTAACACTATAACTATTTAAATAAAATATCTAATCAATGATATGTTAAATCAATATTTAAAAACGAACAAACAGCATACTAATGATACAGACATCATACGTCCTTGAACAAAAACCAGCTGTAATAAAAAAAAGAAACTAAATGAATAAGTTATTTCATCGACCTTATATTATTTACTACATTGGAATGTCTTATCATATGTATGAATAAAAAAAAAAGTATGAATACATGTATATGTATCAATCAATTCAATATTAAGTGTAGACGAGTATTAATTAAGAAAAAACTATGATGTACACATTTTCTTTTTTTTTGTGATTGATGAGAAAATCTTTATTTTTTTTTTTTCTTATGTAATACTGAACAACTTGTCTACATCATAAGACAAATATAAAGGAAAAACAAAAAAAAAAACATAAATGAGTATTAAAATTTATAATAAAAAATAGAAAGAAAACTATCGTCCATTTCCACCAGCAGCAGCTCCAGGATCTGTAAAAGCACTTTGAAGAACAAAAATAACGACTATTGGTAATATATATTTCCACTAAAAAAAGAAAAAAACATAAGCAAATGTACTTTTTTTTTTGTATAAATATTTTTTCTTTTTATTACTCACATATTTAAGTACAAATGGTCGATTATCATTTTCTTGTGTGTTTAATTTTGCTTCTCGTTCACGTTTAAGTTTTTCAAGAAAATGTTGTATCTCAGGTCTATTATGAATATAAAAACAAAATAAAAAATAAAAAGATAAATTCTATTTTTACTGTGGTCCAAGTTCATTAAAATGTAAATGTAAAGGAATTTTATATATCAAATCATTTTGTTTTTCTAATAAAGCTATATTCGAAATACTACATGTTGAATTATTTGTTAGAATATTTACACTAACAATATAACCATTTTCATTGATAAATAAATTCATAGTATATTGAAAATTTGCTTGTAAAACTAGACACTAAAATAAAAAAAAAATGATTTGAAATTAGAAAAAAAAACAAACAACATAGATATATTTTATAAATTAAAAACAAAATATTTTTACCATTGGTATGGATGTCATGACATAATCTTGGAATGAACGACGTTTAAAATGAACTTTTAATGTATAATATGAACGTTTATTTAATTGAGATTCCTTAAAACAAAAATAGAAAGACATTTATTTATAATTTGATTTTAACATTATGAATTAAATAACTTCAATTAATCGTTCATATTGTGAAGATGATATAGTACGTGAAGGTGATAATTCAATATTTGATTGTCTTGAAAGACGAATATTAGTTTTAGCAAATGATACAAATTTTCCATCTATCACATTATCTTCAATATTAAGAGATACAATATCATCAATTGTATCATCAAATGTCTACAAAAATAAATTTTCATAAATTTTTATTCAATAAATTAAATTTTGTTTACCGATATAACTTTTAATTGTAAAATAAAAATGATAAAAACAATAAAGTTAGACATTTCAATTGATTATGTGATACACAAAATAAAGTCTCATGGTACATCATATTTCTAGCGACTTATATCTTTTTTTTATTCGAGATTGTACTCGACCAATCGATGATTACTTATACGATAGCCACGTTTTTACTTGTTCACTAGTAAAATAACTATGGATATAGACAATGAATTTGTAGGAAAAACTGTTATATTAGGAAATAAAGTATAAATTAATATATTTGTATTTCAATAAATAAATAATTTAATTTATATTTTATAGACAATTGAACTTGATAAACTTAGTCCTGAAGAACGTTTTCGAGTTCAACATGAAGCTATACATGAAAAACATAAAGGACATGAAGCTATGCATATGGAAATGGTACTTGTTTTACTTATTTCACTTGTTGTTTGTCAATTTGTATTATTATTTTGGAGAAATTATCATCTTCGATCTTATCAAGTAAATAATTTAAAAATTTATTGTTTTTTTTTCTTTTTTTGAAATGAAATTTTTTGTCTTTTAGTTTTTTACTCTTATTGCAATGTGGTTAATTCCATTTGGTTTATCAATTCATTTTTTTTATATTCGTTTTATTATAATTTGGTGTTGTTTTACAATTATAACTGTATATGTTACACGTCGTGCAACACGACAACCTATTCAACCAAATACACCAAGGTAAAATAAAAAAAAGAAAATTTAGTTTTTCAAAATAATTCAATGATATTTTTGCTTTGAATAGATTAGTTTATAAATGGTTTCTTCTTGTTTATAAAATCTCATATGGACTTGCTATTAGTGGTTATTTTCTTGTAATGATGACTTTTCTTGGTATTAATACTCTTCTATTAATATCTCCACAAGTAAATATTTTAAAATGTATGGTTAATTTTAATATTAGTTGTCAATTGTAGACTGCACTTGATTTTGGAATATTAATTATGTTTTATGGAATATATTATGGTGTACTTGGAAGAGATATGGCTGAATCATGTACTGATCGAATGGCATCGAAAATTGGAGTATGATAGGTTTTTTTTTTGTAAAAAAAAAACAAATTTACAAAATTCTAATCTTTTTTTGTTTTTATTTAGTATTATTCCGAAACAGGTCTACCTAAACGTGCATTAGAATCGAATACATGTGCTGTTTGTGCTAATCCAATCTTAGTACAAAATAATGAAGAAGCATTAATTGAACAAACATATAAATTACAATGTGGTCATACGTAAGTATTATGATATTTGTATATTCTTTTGAAAATTTTCTTCTAATTTAATTTGATTAGTTTTCATGAATTTTGTATACGTGGTTGGTGTATTGTTGGTAAAAAACAAACATGTCCGTATTGTAAAGAAAAAGTAGATTTAAAAAGATTATTTCCAAATCCATGGGAGGTATGTTTAATAAAAAAGAAAAAAAATATTTGTTATTCATAGTTTGGTTTTGTTTGTTGTAAATTTAGAAACCTCATGTACTCTATGGAAATTTACTTGATTGGGTTCGATATTTAGTTGCTTGGCAACCATTAATTTTAATGATTGTACAAGGTGTTAATTATATACTTGGTCTTGAATAGGTGAAATAATATTTATGTCAATTATGAGTTATACAGACAATTTTTCTTTCGTTTTCTTTTGTGTTTATTATCATTTGACGATATATATAGGAATATGAATATATATATATGTATTATTTTTGGAATTGTTGTCGAATGTGTTCAAATTTTTTGTTTTTTTTTGCAGATTGTTTTTTCAAAGAATGAATATTAAAGATCAATTAATTAGTTTCGGATGGTCAATAAAACTAGATTTTTTCGAAAAAAATGCACAACAAATTGATATCATTGAAAAACAATTACTTGATGTGAATATATTTGTCTTTTTTGAAATTCTGATACATTTAAATTGTCTGAAATTTACTCTAAACAAGATTTAAAAATATCTCATTTAGCAAACCAAGTATTGTTCTATTCAGACTTATTCTATAGTTTTAATTATGTCTTTTGTCCGAAAGAGTATGTAAGAATGGCGTGCATTACAGAAATCCATTTCTTTTTAAATTAATATTTTTTAAGTGAAGAAAAGATATGACAAGTTCAATGACTCAAAAACACTCTACTACACTGCATCTTGACATACTCTTGCAAACAAAACAAAAATGAATGTGTAGAATGAAGGCTCACAGAGAATGTTGGGTCGTGCAAGTAAAAAAGTAGCAAGAAAGAAAAAACGAAGTTTTCTTGCTTGTTCTAAAAACAGATTGTTTATCCAGCAAATAATGATAGAGACCATCAAAGATTTTGACAAAAAAGAAGGTGTCAAATAAAAAATTCTGTCATTTATGAAAGATTATGCCTTAGGCTATTATTTCATGCATTTGTTTTAATTTCCTTTTTTTCTTGATGAAAATTGACTTTTTGTTTGGAGAGAGAGATAGAATGAGTAAATCTTAATTCATTATTTCTTTTTAATTTAATAGAGTGATTTAAGAGAAATTGGTGAAAAATCTTTGCCTGAAATAGCAAAGCTTGATCAAGTATGAAGAAAAAAAGAAGAAGTTGATTGATATGAAATTTAATTTATATATATACATATATTTAGACAACAAAACCATATATTGTACAATTACATAAAACTCAAAATGTATCGGTATCGAAAAATAAGGAAAGATCATCGACTAGACCACATCTTTATCGATTAACAATAACTGATGGACATATTTTTCAAAATGCACTTATTTTACCATCACTTAAAAATTTTAAGTAAATAATCATATTGAATTTTAACCAGAAAAAAAACCTTATTGCTTTTGCAAATCATTAGTTTAGATACACCACCTGGTGTTAAACTTTTATTAAAACCACAAACAAAAATTTCAAATGGATTTTATATACTAAATGATCAAACATGTGAATTACTTGGTGGAACAGTAAATGAACTTGTTCATGAATGGAAATTAAATAAAGTTTGGATCTTAATGCAAACTTAATTAGAAAAACTGTTTCTTGGATTTAGCTTATGGATACAAATGTTCGAACATTAATTGGTGAAGGAACACCACCACCTTGGGTTCCATTCAGTATGACACATGAATTAGTGACAACAGGTTGTTTTATATTTTCAATTGTTTATTGATTTTTTTTTTCTATAATTATTTACTATAATTATAAATAGTTGACACTTCTAAACGTTCGATGGATATAGTTAAAATGCAGGAAACTCATGAAGAAGATCCTGAATATGTTTGTCAACGTCGTGCAGTTATTGATAATATTATTACTGGTCGTATATCGAAAAAACAAAGAATTGATAAACGAAAACTTATCAACGGTATAAATATAGGAAAAATTTTTGAACTAGAAAGTCAACCAATGGTAGAGGAAAGACCAAAAACAGCTTCTACGTCTTCGTTGTCAATGTCGGTTATTAATGAACTGATAAATATAGCATCATCGATTGAACCACTTAAAGCTAGTATTCGATGTAAGTAGATATGTTGAATTGAAATGAATGATCCGTTATTTTGATCATTTTAGTATCAAAACCGAGAAAAAAACAGGCTACAAGTAAATCAATTAAAAAGAGTAAAAAGCGAGCGCCATCGACTCGTAAAAGAATTGCTAAGCGTAAGCTTGACAATGATGATAATCGATCAAAACGCGACAATCGTACAGGATGTAAACGACAACGTCGAGGACGTGCTGATAGTGGACGCAAAAAGGCACGTCCAAATGAAGATATTACTCCGATTGATTCTTTTGTTTGATTTTCTTCAAAACAAATTAATATTTTGTATGGAAGTTTATTGTTACTTGTAGAGTTAACAAATAATCATACAAAATAAAGTCAGATATACACAACTGTTATCCAAATTGGTTTATTTTTCAGCTGCCATTTTCTTCTGTGAACATGTAGAATAAAAACAAAAGAGTAAAGATAAACATTTACTAAGCTCAAGAAGACGAGAATTTGTTAAAGAAAGATCGGCATGCAATCACTTACTAAAGATGACGATTTTCTGAAAATTTCACGTTGACATTCATGTGCATAGAAAAATGTGAAGACATCGAAAGATGTGGCAATGCGATAGGCTTCCCAAGCTGTATCTAATTGTCACATAAATAATCCATTAATGATTTTTTCACGATATAGTAACAAATGAAAATACGAAACGTAGATCTAACGTATGTAGATGTTCTAATTCTTTCTATTGGTTTTTTGGTGAAGTAAAACCATGTGGTGAAAAACCAAATGATATGTATGTGGAAGTACAAAGAACACAATAGATACTTACGAATATCAAATAATTTAATTGAAAAATATAGGAAAAGTTGTTTCAGTACATAATAAATGTTTCGATTTTTTAATAGACAAGATTTTATGTCATTGCTCCTTCTTAGCCTTGTCCTAATTTCTACACTTACAACTACTATTGCATTATGGATAAACACTGCTTTTGTTTCTTTTAACATTAACAGGTCATCAATAATTTTCTGGCAAACTAGAAAGGGCATTTATTGCTATTGTAGTCTGTTTCTCTAGTTCAATTATATCATAATATACCTTCATTCCTAAAGTATGTTTCAAAAGAAGAGTCGAATCGCCAGTACAAAGATGAGAATGAAATTGAAAAAAATTTGATATAAAGTGAATACGAAGTCTAAAAAGAGTAGTTTCAAAAACAGGACCTTATGAAGCATCACTAAGTACTTAGATCATACCAAAAATAGTAGCGGAGGTACTCTAATTCCTTATAAATACCTTTAAGAAACTTTCTTTTTATATAGTCTGATAGAGAAAAAAATACTCTAATCTTCTATGCTATTTGATCATACTTCAACAAATATTATAATAATAAAAATTTGAAAAAAAAAACCGAGTGAGTATTTTATGAATAAGTTTTAATAAGATCAAGATAGAGAGCTGTGCTTTTCACTGTTCGACAGAGGGAATGGAGATGTATCTAGCCATATACTTTAGATTTTTGTAAGGTTTTAAATCAACTTCTTTGAAAATAAATCTATTTTGCGGGGAGTGTACAGCGAATTTTCGATCGTAAGGTATGCATTCAAACCGTCAGTGGAAAATCTACGAACTGCATAAGGTTGACATGTTTACCATTTATTATTCAGGAGTTAAAGATATTCTAATCAAAGCTGTAAACAAATTTTCTAGCAATTTTTGTAAAGAGATTTGTGTCTGCTGTTTGCCTTTTAATAAAAAAAAATAAAACAATTTTTTGACACTTACAAAATTGATCAAACAAACTTGAAACAACTTTTTTGAAAAATTTATAATATATGACTCGATGCATCTTTATTTTGTTCCGAAGAAAAATTATTCATAAAATACTTGGCTTTTTTCAAATAGATTGAATACAACCGTCTCTTATCGAAATTATATGCTTATGATATTAGTGAAAGTATAGTTCAATAACACAGAAAAATATAGGATTCTTTTCTCTATCAGACTATATAAAAAGAAAGTTTCTTAAAGGTTTTAGTAAGAAATTAGAGTACGTCCGCCACTATTTTTGGTATGACCTAAGTAATAGGATAGTGAAAAGCGATTCTAATTAATTCGAATCTAAATATAAGTTAAGATAATCTATGCGGATTCACACTATATTTATACATGACTTATTAATTTCGACTTTAAACCAAAACAATAATTCAAACACAGCGTTGTATTCCTATTCAAAGTATTGTTTTAAATCTAAAGACTCTGTTTAAATTGATAAAAATGCGTGGCGCAGTCAGATGAACACCATACCACAGTACCTAGAAGTAGAATGAAAGGTCAATAACAGAAAAAAAAAGAATTTCAATGTACTTCAGAATTTCTGAATATATGAACGCTTAGTTTTAAAAATTCTATGGACCGAAAATTCAAAATAATAATTCAAAATTTATGTCATGACTCGTGAGACATTGTAAGAAGGTTCACTCTTTTTTTCTATTCTTCAACTTTCATGAACGATCGTGTCTCACAACAATCAAATAATTAAAATTCAAAACAGTTGTATAAATAGATCCATAAAAATTCAAGTTTAAAAGCAATACCAATAAATGTAGAACCCAAAACTCGTAAGTCAAACAATACAAGAGTCATAAATATTGAAAAAAGTAGTCATTCAGAATCAAATAGACAGTAATTTAAAAAAATGTATTTCAGACAAATAAATAGACAAAGTCTATTTTATTCTTTATCATTCTATCGATTCAAGACACTTCCATATAGAAGAATAAATTTTCAGATAAGCAGTTATTGAAATCTTTTGTTCGTTCATTTGAATATTTATTTCAGAAAATAAATTTTGAGGCCTGAAAATCCATTGTTTTTCATGTGACTATCAAGGTCGATTGGGCGAATAGGGAAGGAGATCAGTAGAGTTTTCTCGCTCCATAATTCAACAATCATTTCCAATCGTATTTCGCAAAACATATCTTCGCGCAACAACTGTCTTTCATGTTTTGAACCAGTGTAAGGTACCAAATAACAGTGTTTGCTATAGCAATGATGATGGATTTAAACATTATCAAAGCTTTTGAAATGGTATCTCAAGTTGTGGATGAATTTATTTCGATATTTTTTCACCCTACCTTCACTTTTCTTGTTTTGTATTTAGAAATGATCGTGATAAATATGGTCACATTCAGTCTTGCCTTTGTCGTCGTTATTTGTATTCTTGTCATGAGTGTCGCACAGCAATGTTCATTGACTATCGAAGATCTTTTCTCGTGCGTCGATAGAATTCCTATTAAAAAGTGTACGACGGTGCAGGCTCCCTTCGATCTTGAAAGGAGAAAAGAAAAATAGTCCATCTTTCGGCCGTCTTGCGGTATAGGATGCTATCTAGAGTCAATTTCATGAGTTCAACATCTTCCTTAGAACTATTGATAGCTGAAATTATGTACAGAAAGCTCAGCTGACTCCGATTCATTTTTGCTCAACGCTTGAACTCTGTGTACACAAGGAATACATACGTCATAGTTACAAGAACTGGTATGTCACTATCTAGTCCGTCTGTTATCATAGGAATGTTTCAAGAGAAGCAGTCGCAAGTGGTTTTCTTCGGGTGGTATGACTGTGGATATAGAAAAGGGGTCTTCTATACACGCAGACTCACACCCGTACCGCCACTCTGATTATAATAACATCGCTCGTTGTTATCGCTTGACATATAGCGTACAGCTCTCTATTAAACAAGCATACCACAGCGCGCACTGCATACAATTATAGGTCACCAGAATATTGATGTTAGAGTAAATTTGAATTTTCTGAATCTTTCAACACTTTTTTCTCGCGGAAATCTCAACAATGGTATTGCCTCATATCATTAGAAATCAACGAACTAAATTTTTTATGACATATCCAATTTATTCTTTTGTGAATACTACACATTTTTATTTCTCGTATAAAAAACGATTGGAAATACTGTAAAACTAAAAGCTAACAGTACATCTTTTAAAAACAGAACACCTTTATTGCATCATTTACTTAAGCATTGAGTTTTTGGATATTGATCACATTTATCACATCCTCTTCATTGTCATACTCTTCAAATGGTCTAAGCGTATTGTTGGCATTAGTCGTTTGATATGTTTGTTTCGATTGATGCGCTTCAATATACTGGTTCGCTTGATATATATTACGTTGTGTGCGAGCTATTTTTGCTCGTCGAGATTGAAGTGTAGATGATAGTTGCGACAGCTCTTGATCAACAGCCACTTGTGCTGTTCGTCGATGCTCTGCTTGAGTGTTCAAATTATCCGCAGTACTTTTTCTTTTGTCATACGCATTTTGTTTTTCATTCAGCTGCCGAGTAAGTCGATCAAGATCACGTTCTGTACTACGGAGTTGTGCTTCAGCTTGATCACAAAGACGTTTTGTTTCCTGTTGTAAAGTTGACTGTTGCTGTATCTGTCGTTCCGTGTTATTCATTTGTCTTTCGACATTTTTGATTGCTTGCTTATTAGCTAGCTGTTGCTCTTCAACAGCATGCAATTGTGCTTCACGTGCTAGCTTTTGCGATTGTTTTGCTGCTATATCTGACTTTTTCCTATTCACTTCCACTTGAAGAGAGCCTTTTGTATGTTCCTTTTCGTTTAGAGTCACACGTTGCCTTTCAATATCACGCGTTAGTGTTTTAATATCTCGTTCCGCCTGTTGTTTCTCACGATCAAGTTCGTTGATCTGAGATTCAAGTTTCGAATGTTCGGTTTCAAGTTTTTGCATTGCTTTTTGCACTTCTTTTAACGTTTGATCCTGATCAGCTAAGTCTTTCTCAAGTTCTGGCACTGACTTGTTCAACATATCAAGATTCGCTTGCACATTTTGTAAATGATTATCGATGCGCATGACTTCCTTCTGTCTGTCTCGTACAATTGCCGCTTGTTTGTTCACTTCAGCTATATTTGCATCGCGTTCTCGTGTTTTTGCTGTTTCTTGAGTTTTTTGTTGATTGAGCTGAGATTGTTTGCCTTTTAGTTGATAATCATTTTGTGTCAATGCATCTTGCGATTTTTTTATTTGTTGATCCAGGTTTTGGACACGTTGAACTAAGTTCTTGACTGCTGTATCAAGTTGATTGATCTCCGTCTTCAACGTTTCGCATGTTTTCTTCTGTTTTTCAAGTTGAGACTTTTCATTTTTCACTGCTGTCTCTTTTTCTTTGACCTTTTGTTCTGCTTGTTTGCAATCTTGTTTCAGTTTTTCGAGTTTATCTTTTGTTGTTGTTACTACTGTTTTCTGTTGGTCAAGTTC